CCGGCCGATCCGATCCAGATATCGGATCGGGACCAGCCCAGACCTTAGTGAAACTTAAGAAGCAGGTAAAGTGTTTGTTTTCTGGGGGAAAACATATCTTTAGTTAGTGGAACATCTGGGCTTGTTTTTCCTCCTGTGACTGATCCGGTTCTCCTCAGACCCGTTCCACTGGGCCTGGCTCCCCCAGGCCAAGGTGGCCTTCTCCCAGGAGACCCGGGAGCTGGTGCTGTCCCGCCTGTCCGACATGAACTTCGTCCAGGACCTCTGTGAGGACCTCTACGAGATGTTTAAGGTACCTCACGGAGCCTGAACCCCTCTGGACAGGAGGGCCGCTAGCTATATTAATATATATATATTAACTCATTGGCTGCCAAAGACGTCTATAGACCTCTTTTTTGTTTTTCAACGAGAGTGGCTGGGGACGATCTGCTAAAGCTTGTCCGTAAATATCAGGCTTCTAGACAGAGTATGTAGTAACAAATTGACCCTCTAGGGGGCAGTGCCACTTTTGATGGGAGATGAGCATAGACTGTAGGCAAATAAGAAAAAGCTAACGGTTCGCTATGAGAGAACATGTCGCCGGTGAGACGCAAGTCCAGGAAGAACGGAATAAGGTAGAAACACATATTTTTTCCTGATGAAAGAGGAGAATCTACTCTTTCTTTTGGTGTGTTCGGTGTTTACATAGTCATAGCACAAACTATTCTGTGGCTCTTGAAAAATCAGTCAAAATGCTCAAAAAACTCTGGCACTATGGGACTCTGTTCTGAAAATGGCTGGCAGTCAATGAGTTAAAATATATATATATATATATATATATATATATATATATATTCATAATTCAGCTGTATAATATGTGTACTGTGTGTGAGCCATCAATGATTTTACATATTTTAGTCACTCAAATCTCTGTGCTGTGTTGCTTCCTTGTATATTTGTTTGTTTTTGCTGTACTTTATGCACCTTTTCCTCCTTTTGAACTCTAACCGATGTGTGACCAGTGAATTTCTCCACTGTGAGATCAATAAAGCTCTTATCTCATCTTATCTTATCTTATCTTAACCTCGTTGTGTTCCTCCTCAGACCGATAAAGGCTTCGACAAAACCATGTTTGAGAGACAGATGTCTGTGATGAGAGGACAGGTGAGTTTACCTTTCCACTTTGAGCCGGTCCTGGTTAGGGTTGTCAAAAGTCTCGATATTTAAAAAAGTATCGATACTAAAATGTTGTATCCGGATACGATAATCATTTTCAAAAGTA